GTCGGGGACTCGGGACACGCACCCAGGGAGCCGCGCTCAGCCGCGTCCTCCAAGCTGCCCTTCGCTGAGTCCTAATTCAAAATGCCTCCTCGCCGCACAGTCACCTGTGGGGAGGACAAGGAGGAGACGGGGAAGCCACCCTCCCAGCACGCAGAGTGAGACCAGATCCCCGCCTCCTGACGCCAACGCGGCGGACTCGCCCAGGACGTGGGGGCGGGGCCTCCGTCGGAAGCCGGGCGGGCTCTGCGAGCACGATTGAGATTTAGTTTCCTTTCGTTTCGGCAGCTGCATTTCAACCCAGCGGTTTGTCTTAGCAGCACTTTGGTTCCTTCTAGACCCCGACTGAGCTAATCTCTTTTTCAAAAGACAGGAGGCATCTGTTCATTGACCGACAGACACATATCCCCGTCTCCTCTCCCTTGGGTCCCTGCAAGCGTTCCCATGGCCGCACGCTCCCGAAGCCCCCTGCTGTCAGAGCACCGGACCCTCAGACACGTGTGGCCAGAGCCCCGTCCGCCCGGAGTAAACGCCGGCCTTCAGGAGGTGAGCCGAGGTCCCAAACCCTAAAAAGGGAGGCCAGCCCGGCAAGCACGCTGCTTCTGTGAAGACTCTCCCTGCGGCCTTCGCCCCGCGTCCCAGTCGGCCTGCCCCGCGCGCCCCTCAGTCTCCGCCAGCGAGGGGCTTCAAGTCCCACGTTCCTCGCAGGCGCTCGGTGTGCACGAGGCAGGCTCACCGCTCTGGCCGGCAGACGTACAGCCCCACAAAACATGACGTCCTCCCAAACCACAAGGCAGCGCCGGCGGGGACAGGGCTCCGCTCCGCACGGACGCCAGGGCCCCAGCGCTTGTCCCTGGCTGCACACAACGTGTGGCCTCAAGTTCGCCCTGGGACAGGGGTGAAGGACGGTTCTCTGATGGGCAGAGACCAAACGTAGCAGCTGTCTCTCCACACACAACCCCGGGCTCCGCGAGCTGTGGCTCAGCCCTGAGCCCGGCAGACGGGCACTCGGGTGAGTGTCATAGTCCCCTGTCATGATGTCCTGTTCTGGAACTCGAGGGGCAGGTGTCGGGGGTGCTTTGTGGTGACCCAGTGCAAAGCTGAGCTGGTCCCATTGCCAACACGCAGGGCAGGCCCTCGGGAGCCGCCCGCCCGGTCACGCAGCACCCTCGCTCCCTCTGAGGGGAGGCTGAGGGAGACACCGGCTCTGCAGGGGGACCCGCCCCAGAGTGCCTCCCCGCGGGGTCCTCTCCGGGGCTCTCCAGTCCAAGCTCACGGCGCCCCTCCTCTCCCGACTCCCCCAGCCTCGGCTGCACGCGCTACCATGCCTTCCCAGGAGACTCCGCAGCAATCAGGCCCACGAGGCAAATCGCCGAGGGCGGCTCCCATTGCACGGACCTGCCACTGTGGGGGCGGCGCCCTTTGGGATGGGGCTTCCGGAGAAGCTGGGAAGCACCCACGGTCCCCGCGCTGGGGTGCTGCAGGTGGAAGGCGCTGGCTGGACGCCGCTCCTCTCCCCAGATCGCCGCCGACTGTAAGCGGTCGGAGAGCAGGGCCTCCTCTTCCAGGCGCTCTGCCGGCCCAGGGCGCGCGGCTGCAGGAACGTCCCGGAGCCGGTTAATATTTAATGGGCGAGGACGATCCATCCTCCCGGGGCGGTCCTGGAGGAGCCCATTAAGTCGCCTCCTTCCTCTGCTGCTGCTCGGATGTGTCAAGTCTCATCCGTCTCCTCCAGCCCTCCTGCGCGTGCTCCCCGGGCCGTGAAATCGCTCGAGAGTCAAGTCTGCCGCTGCTCCCTCTCACACGGCTCGCCCCGTGATGACGTCCAGCCATGCACCAGCCAGACTCAGGGTCAGATTCGCAGCACGGTGCAGGGCATCGGACGTGGAAATCCGCCTCCCTCACCAGTGTATCATTTTTTAATTCAAATTTTTAATTTTAAAAAATGTTTGTGGGGTAGGTAATTAGGTTTAATTTTAGGTTTATTGATATTTAAGTGGAGGGCCTGGGGATTGAACCCAGGACCTCGTGCACACTAAGCAGGCGCTCTTCCACTGGGCTACACCTTCCCCACTTCAGTGTATCATCTTCATGGCTATTTTATTAAAACAGAAAAACATGTTTCTAAGAAGAAAGGCTTCCATAAAACAAGCTATAAAGGAGCTAATGTTATTTTTTGAACTTTAGAGGATTCTCACAAAGTATTTTAGATTAACGTTTTCTGGAAAATCCTCATGGACTTAAAAGTTCACAAAGAGGGGGTTTTGGCAGACTGTGCCAGGAGGAGAGCCAAGCCTGAGACTTGAAGAAGCAGAGCTGGGGCTGGGCGAGGAGCCCCCGGGGCCGCGGGGACCGCGTGCCCGGCCAACGCAGAGGGAACGCACTAGAACCCCGGTCTTCTCTCAGGGAGACCTTCCTGTTCTGACATCCTCGGGCACCTCCCTGGGTGCCTCGTGGTGTCTGGCTGGACGGAACAGGGTTCTCTCTCCCTCCCATTCCGGAACTCCCTGGGGACGTCGTGAAGTTAATTACAGCCCAGGTATGGAGGATCGCATGCTCAGAGCTGCACACTGGAGTGGAGAGGCTTTCTTTGGCTCATGTGGACAGGTGTTCAAGTCACAACGGAACCGTGCCTTCCTCCTCCGCCTCTTCCTCCCTCCCCTCCTGGCTGTAAACTCGCCCAGCTCCTGCCAAGCCATTCTTGAGATACACCCGTGCTCTCGGCGCAGCCCAGGCACAGTGCGGTTAATGAATTGGACCGCGGGGAGGCCTGGGTGAGTCAGCCGGCACCTGGGCACGGAGGACGCTGCCTCCAATGACTGCTCCCAGGTGCTCGCAGGTGCCAGAAAGAAACCGAGAGAAAAGGGTCCACATTCAGAAGAAAGGACGGGGCAGACGGAGACACGGAGAGGCCCTCACTCACAACCCACAGTTGGCAGAGCCCAACCCTGGGGACCCTGCGGTGAGATCAGACAATGCCTGTCTGCACGGCGGCCGCTTTCCTGAGCCAAAGAGGCAAGACCAGGACGGTCCAGGAAGATATTGATTATGTCTACATGCATGAGTCAGCTCCTGCTTCTTTCAAACAGTGAGCACCTGGCCTGGTTTAAAACCAGCAGCCTGTCTGGTCGAATTGAGTCACTGGTTATCTCACTCAGGATCCAGCTTGTGTGAACACAGAAGTGGGGAGAGGTTAGATCAATTCAACACGGAGCCACCAACCCACCTGAGGACGCGTGGCTTGGGGGGTAGGGGGGAGAAATTCAAGACAGCCACTCAGCATTACATGCAGAGTGTGACTCCAGGCTTCGCATTTTGTCATTTCAGTGGGGCAAAAGGTGGGGCTTCTGACATTGTTTTGAGGGAAGTGAACCTCAGTGCCCCTACCTAAAGCTTCTAGCCTATGCTGAGAATAATCGCAGTGGAGACCAGAACAGTGGAAGGTAGGAAGGAAGGGAGGGACGGAGGAAGGGAGGGAGGGGTTAAAGGTATGACACAAAAACACTTGCTTTCTCCGATGTTTGGTCCTCTCGGACCACGATGACCTTTTCCTCGCTCCTCGGCCAGAAAGCCTAGAGGGACGTGTCTCTGACCTCTCGCGGGCGCTTACGGTCCCCAGAGCCCAGCCACCAGCTCGCCTTCGCAGGTCACCACCCAGGCACCATCACACGCTTCCCGGGCCCCTCGACCTCGGTGTCGTGCTGGACCAGGGGAAAGCACGCGCTGTCCCCACGTGCGGTGCTCTGAGGCCGGGGCCAGCTTCCTTCAACTTCAGTCACGTTGCCACATACAGTATTTGGGGTGAACGTAAGGATCTTATGAGCAACAAAAATAAAGAACACTCCCAGAATGTTGTTCCCCTGGGCTTTGAACTTGCAGATAGCACTGTCTTACGCCTCCGTGGTTTCAGATACCCACCGATCTCCAAGTCCCATGCTTTGCCTAAACACCCCATCAAACGGGCAGTCACCAGATTGCATTGCTTTTGCTTTTGTATAGAAAAAAATCGCAATTGTCTTTATTCAAGGAACCAAGGTCATCTAGCTCATGGAACAGAAATTTAAGGGATAAAATAAAATTTTCCTTTGATTCACCCAAAGGACTTTACCGAGTTTGGCAACCAGCTGTTTTCCGTCTGTTTTTGGAAAGATCAGGAGGAAACAGCTTAACTGCAAACGTGAAGATGGGCCTCCTGCCAGCGGAGGTTGCCGAGCGCTGCGACGACCTACCCACGGGAACCACGGGATTTCCTCCCGCGAAGGTCTCCCGCCACCCCGGACGGAGCCGCCGCTTCCCAGGCTGCGCCGTCCAGATGCGGCCCCTGTGGGCTTACACATCACCCGGGCCAGCTGTCAGCATCACCGCTCCTGGAAGGCATCCAGCACCGTGAAAACAAGACTCGACGAGATGAACCAGGAGACACGGTTCCAGAACCTTCACTCCCAGCTGAGGAGCCGCAAGCCCGGCGGGGCCAAGCCCATGTGGGTCTGGTTTGTGCTGGTTTTCAAATCCCCGCTCGCTCCGCCTCGTTGGCCCGCAGAACCGCGCCTGGCAGGCGCTCACTGCTGACTGGCGGTCCTCGGTGCGCTCCAGGTCAGCCCTGTCCAAGAGCAACAGGGGGGAGCCGCAAGCGTGTTATTAAATTTTCCACAGCCACGTTAAAGAAGTAAAAAGAAGCAGGTGAAAGCGATTTTAATAATGTATTTTATGTAACCCAGCATATCCAAGATGTTGTTATTTCAGCCTGTGATCGATGCTAGACTTATCAATGAGACACTGTTCCTTCTCTTCTGCACCATGCCTCTGGTACCGGGTGCACAGATCGCATGCAGGCGCACCCCCACTCCGGGCGGCCATGTGGCAGGTGCTGAGCTGCCACCAGGCGCCAGTGGCCGCCATATGGGACAGCCTAACTCTAGCCAAGGTTGGGATGCCCCGGTATGGTCTTATTCCAAGTACAGAATTCATATTGACCATGGCCTGGGTGCTTTGTTTTTCTCTGACTTCACTGAATTTTTAAAAGAGAAATGAGGACATGACATAGTGGCAGCCAAGCGTGGGCACTGGGTCCCCCGTCAAAACAAACAAGTCAGATATTAGATGCATTGATTTCCTTGGTCCACTCAGCCCTGAATTTCCATAGGTTGTCCCTGGGCTCTAGTGCGCAGAGGAGACAGGACTCATGAGGTAGAAGGTGGGAGATGATGACAGAACAGCGTTTGCTCTAAAGCCTCTTTGGTTCCTAAGAGCAGATCCTGGGGCCAGGACGCTAGTGCAGGGGATGTCCTGGGGGGATGCTTCGGGGCCGGGGCTGGGTCTGGGGGAAGCAGGGAGGGGCAGGAGCAAAAACTAAGCCAGGGGGTGGTCCCAGCTGCAGAGAAGGCCCACCCTGCTCCTGTGGGAGGCTCTCCAGCCCAGGTCTCCACCCGAAGCCTGCATCGGACTGTCCTACTGGCCAGGCTAGACCCGATTGCTGGGCTCCACCCTAGGGCTCTGAGTGGGGCCCAAGGATTTGCACTTCCAACAACTCCCCAGGGGGTGCTGACGCTGCAGGCTGTGCTCCCCTTGAAAATGGCTCTAGTCGAGAGCATCGACAGCTCCGCAGAACAGCCCCCAGTCCCCGGGCCAGGGGCCAGGTCCTGCGTCTGTGCAGCCAGTCACTGGTGTGGGCTGTGTGACCCCTGATGGAGGAGGTTCCCGTCGCCCAGCAGAACCTGTAATTACGGTTGGAAGCAGACAGCTGCCCAGCGGGGCACTCCCTGCCCTGGGGACAGGGCACGTCTCTGGGAGAAAGAGTCTGGGTGGGACACCAACTTTTTCTCCACCTCCCAGCCAGCTCCACTGACGGAGTGGCCAATGGGCGGATCTGATCCTTGGAGGAGGATGCGATTGACGGAAAAATGACACATGCGGCAGATCCCACCTCCTCTTCTTCCCTGAGGTTTCCTCAGCTGGCTGAGCCGCTGGCACCCACGCTGCAAAGGTGTCACTGAAGCGAATGCCCCACTGGCCAGTGGCTCCACGCCTTCGTCTGTTAACACTGGGAGATGAAAGGGCATGAGGTGCACCCCCCACATAAACAAGCCTGGGGCCCCAGGGTGCGCACGGCTCCCCAAAGCCCCCGTCCCCACAGTCTCAGCAGAGGGTCCCTCCAGGGTTGCCAGGAAGCTGAGGGGACATCCAGGGCTCTGGTCCCCAAATCGGGTCAGGGAAGCCAGGGGTTCTCAGGGGCCAGTGTGGCTGAGAGATGCGCTCTGGTGCCCACGGATGTCCTGGGAACAGCCGAGGTCCCTTCATGGGTCAGTCCGTGAGGTCCACACGTGGGGTCTTCTGCAAGAGTCAGAAGTGACCTCACCAGATGCCAGGACTGGGAAGTTTTCAGGTGAGTCCAGGCTGACTGGGAGGAAACCTCTTCAGACTGGAACCCGCCTGACACTCTGCCAAGAGCCGCCTGGTCCACCCCTGCTCCAGGCTGGGCGTACGGCCTCATGTCCAGCCAGGATGGCTTTAAGAGACAGTTAATACCACACTTGCAAGTCTTGTCACCGAAGATAAAAGTGATAACAGCCAGTGATCTTGTAAATAAAGACACAGACAACACCTCTTTTCAAACTTGCGGGGCGTCTCTTCGCTAGAACCATCAGCACACTTTCCCTGGAACTCTTTCTCAGGTGACACTGAAGCCTATTAAAGAGGCTGGAACAACAGTCAAATGTGACCAAACAGAAAATATTCTTTACAACAGTGACTTCAAGTGAATAGGAAGTAAATGTCTAACTTAACCTTGAAAACAGATGCTGTGGGTGAGCAGGGTCTTGGACAAGGGGTGACGTGGTACCAGGTGGCACGGTAGCAGGAGACACGGTGCCAGGTGATGGGGTACCAGGCAGTTCTGCCTCGCTTGCTGGGACCTCTCTGAGCACACTGTCACCTGAACTGGGAGCAGAACGAACCTGGTTCTCAACTCCCCACAGAGCTTTTGTTCATGTGAGTTACATCTAGCCATATTTTTTATTAAAATTAAATCTTTATTGACTAACTCATTTAAAAGCAACCAATAAGCCCAAACATCACGACCTGTGGTCCTTAGCGCATCTTCTTTAGTGCTTCTTTGTCCAACCATTTTAAAATGTAAAACCCATTCTCAGCTCCGGGGCTGTGCCAAGCAGGCTGGCAGGCTGGTCGGCCCCAGGCCGCAGCTCTGCACCCTCGCTCGAGAGCTCTGTGTCGGATGGCGTTACCACCAGCCCCACGCGGCCTTAGAGCACTCGAATGTGCCCGGTCTGGCCTGAGACGGGCTGGGAGTGTGGAATACACACTGTTCAAAGAATCAGTACAAAAAGGGATGTCAAATACCTTACAACATTTTTATATTAGGTAATGTTAAATTAATAATATTTTGAATGTACTGGGTTAAATAAAAGATATATTAAAATCAATTTCTTCTGTTTCTTTTTACTTTTTTTTAGTGTGACTGTTAAACAATTTTAAATTACCCATATGACTTGAATTACTTTTCTGTGAGACAGAACACATCTATAGCGCCTTCATATTGGACCAGATGTCCTGTGTTTTCCTAGGACAAATCTGCACACTTAAGAATTCAGCTTGAAGGAAAACAAGTCTGAAACACACCACTTGGAAAATTCTTGCAGATATAACCTCTATCCACAAGCCCATTCCCCAATTACACAAATTTATTTGTTAAGAACCAAAATATCTCCCAAGGTTCCCAGGCAAAATTCCTAAAAAGTTAAATGTGCTTATTTTTAAAAAGAAAAGAAAGGAACCAGACTTCCCAACAGGGAGGCAGTTGTTGGGAGCGCGTTTCCACGGCTGGCTGAGCTCCCGGCCTGGGTCTACATAGACTGGGGACGATGCAAAGCCGCTGATGGTCAGCAGAGAAATGATTCCAATTCCACTGCATGTTCGAGCAAACTGCCAAAATGTAGCACTGGTTTTCCTGTGTTGCCAATTAATAACCTGGCAGGATGATGAGTTAACCTCCCAGGACACCATCAACCAGGGCTGTGCGTCTTTGTGGGGAAGGACCGGCCTGCGAAGCCGGCACCTCCCACTTCTCTTCCCAGCCAGCGTCCACCCCGAGTCCCTGCCAATGAAGCTGAGGACGCGTGGGGCATGTGGACAAGTGAGTGGGCACTCAGACCAAGGTCCCCTTAGATGGTGATCCATGCTGCCCAGGGCGTGCCTCGGGGTAAGATAACGCAGGGACGGGGTGCTTCTCAGGGAGGGGGTGAAGGTCTGGTGGAGACGGAGCACCAGAGCTGACCTCAGTGATGCGACAGGACGTGGGGACGGCGGGCCGAGCGACAGCGAGTGAGAAGGCTGGCGGGGGGCGGAAGGGGGGAGCAGAGCTGAGGGCCGCCCTCGGCCCGCGGCCTCCCTCCCCGGCGCACTGTCAGGTGGGACAGGCCAGCGCCTTCACGCCGAGACCCTCCCGGCGAGAAGCGGCTGCAGCCGAGCACCGAAGGAGCGAGGGTGGACAAGATGCCCCGCGCACGCCCACGGGAGGAGTCCCCTCTCCTCCCCCGTCCGGGGGGAGGAGCGGGGGGCACAGCGGAGGCCCCAGGCCACCCTGTGAAAGGGCTCGCACCCAGCGGAGGCCCGGAGGGCTAGCTGACAAACCTTTGAGGTGGCGGCATGTGTCCCATCCTAACAAGAGTTTATTTTAAAGCATCGGAGAGAAGCAAGAGCAGAGCTTCCGCAGCAGAGCGAGGGGGCTGCCCTGGCCGGAGGAAACCGCGCTTCACTGGCCAGGGCCCGACGTGGAAGACCGGGGTCGCCAGTAAGCTCTCGGGCTTGAGTGCCGGGGCTCCTATCTGGGTAAAGGCGAGAGGAGCTACATTTTCCGCAGGCAACGTTGGCGGCCGCGCTGAGAACGGACGCGTGGGCCCGGACGCTGTCGGAGGAGGCCTTGCCGTCTGCAGTGGTCGGACAGCGCCTCTGAGCGGGAGGGGGCGGGGCTGGAGGGGGAGAGGCGGG